CTGGTACTCAACCTAAGCCTATGGTCACATGGGATTTTCCTATGAGCAAATTCATTTAGTATGACAAAAAACGAGCCCAGCTTTCAGCAGGCATCAGCTAGAGTAGAATGCTATAATGCAAAAGCCCCATTTGAGGTACCTGAAAAATTGCAGAAACAGGACGTTTTCCCTGAGGAAAGAATTTCTAGTCCACTTTGCATGAAAAGAGAAGTGGAGAGTGTGTGGCATGGGCCTCATTGATTAACAGGAGTAAAGAAAGAATGAATGGTTAAGGACTTACAAGCCACAAGACAAAAGAGTATTGGGAAGAAGCATGTGTTATACCTTCTTGAAGGAGCTCACTATGTAAGAATATTTTTCCCATGTCTATACTCACCAAAAGGTCCCCACTGCAAAGAAGCTTATTAATATTCTGGTCATAAGTCTCTTTCTTCAGCCATCTCAGTATGTGCATAAGTATTTTTTTTTTCAGGCTAGTCAAGTGAAGCATGATAAGTATTTATTGAATAAATTAAGAAATGCAGATGAAATGACTATATAACTAAAATACCCAAGAGAATCAATTTAAAACATTTTAATCTGCCAAATATAGAACAAGATAGTTAATTAAAAATTAAAATTTAAAAAGCAGCAGAATTTTACATAGATCAGCAATGAGGGGTTTTAAACTAAACTAAACTACAAGAACAACAAAAAGTAAATATGAATACCCTAACTAGAAATGCATGGACACTATATAAAGACCATAAAAAATTTCACGAAGAAGTAGGGGAAAGGAGGGGATGGGTATATGCAAATATAATGAGTGAAATGTGCAACGTCTTGGGGATGGTCACACTTGAAGCTCTGACTCGATGGGGGAGGGGGGTATGGGCAATATACGTAACCTTAACATTTGTACCCCCATAATATGCTGAAATTTTAAAAAATGGGAAAAAAAGGAAAAAAAATTTTACTAAGAAGTAGAAAAAAAGATTTGAACATATGAAAATTATATAGTCCTTGGATTGGAAAAAAAGTAATGAATATTTTAAAGACATAAATTGTTCCCTACTGAAGCTATAGGTTTAATATAATTCTAGTGACAATAATTTTGTCTCTATAAAATTTTTCTAGACTTTTCCATGCAAATAGAATAGAACCCCTAAATAAAAATAAGTGATGGGGAGAGTACTGCAGCCCTGAATATTAAACAAATTATAAACCCACAAAAGTAAAACATTTTGGAATTGTTACAAGAAGACAAAAAGATATTCAGAAATAGATTGTGGTAGTTATAGGAATGTAATACAAGATAAAAGATCTGAAAAAATACTTGTTTCAGTATACATGAAAACAAATTTGAGGTAAAGAACTAAAAGCTAAAATATTATAAAAGTATGAAAAGGAAGAATATTGTGCTAAATATTTACTTTTCTTTAAATGCAAATGTGCAGATTTCACAACCGTAAAGAGTAAAACTTTTACATATTAAAAATGATATAATTAAAATATAAATCACCAGAATGACAGAGATTTTGTCCTAATTATTGCCATATCTTCAGGACCTAGAATAGTGACTGTTGCTTTTCAGATTTGCAAATAACACTTTTTCAAATGACAGCACTTGAATCAGCACTTCCATGGACAGCACTTACCATTACTTCAAATCAAACTTAGAACACATTTTCTAACAATAAAAAAATAGTTAAAAATATCTACAATTTCTCCAAAGAATTCAGCTAGGATTCTGACAGGGATTGTATTTAATTTGTAGATCACTTTGGGGAGTACTGACACTGTTAAATCTTCTAATCAATGAACATGAAATGTTTTTCCAAATATTTACATCTTCTCTAATATCTTTGAACAATGATTATAGTTTTCAAAGGATGAATTTTACATTTCCTTCATTAAATTTATTTCTAAGTAGTATACTCTTTCTGATGCTATTATAAATAGAATAGTTTTCTTAATTTCATTTTTGGATCATTCATTACAGGTATATAGAAATACAACTGGGTTTTGTGTATTGATCTTGTATCCTGCAACTTTGCTGAAATAATGTATTAGTTCTAATAGTTATTTAGTGAATTCCTTAAAATATTCTATATACATGATAATATCATCTGGATATAGAGATAGTTTTACTTCTTCTTTTCCAATATGGATGCTTTTTATTTCTTTTTTTTTCCCCCAATTGCCCTGGCTAGACCTCTAGTACAATGTTGAATAGAAGTGGCAAGAGCAGAAATCTTTGTATTGTTCCTGATCTTAGAGGGAATACATCTAGTCCTTCACCACTAAGTATGATGTTAGCTATATATTTTTTGTAGATGTCTTTTATCAGATTGAAAAAGTTCCCCTCAACATATTCCTAGTTTACTAGGAGTTTTCATCATGAGTGGGTGTTGGATTTTGTTAAATCCTCTTTCTGAGTCTACTGAAATGATCCTCTATTTTTTTTCCTTTGTATTGATATGATACATTACATTCAATGATACTCTAATGTTAAATCAGTCTTGCATTCCTGGGATAAAACAGCTGATTCTAAATATAGAATTTCAAGGGACCCAGGATAGTCAAAACAATCTGGGAAAAAAAACAACAAAGTAGATGGACTCAAATTCAAAACTTATTATAAAACAATGGTAATTAAGAGAGTGTGATACTGGCACAAGGAATAGATGTACAGATCAGGAGAACAGAAGTGAGAGTCCAAAAATAAACGCATGTATTTATGGTCAACAGATTTTAGACAAAGGTGACAAGATCATACAATGGGGAAAGAATAGTCTTTTCAACAAATGGTGCTGGGATATCCACATATAGAAAATAAAGTTGGACACTTACCTCCACTTAACTGTAAATGGATCAAAGACCTAAATGTAAGAGCAAAACTATAAATCTCTTAAAAGAAAAGATAGAATAAACCTTTATAACCTGGTTTTGGCAGAAGATCCTTACATATAACACCCAAATCATGAATAATGAAAGAAAAAGTAGATAAATTAGACCTCATCAAAATTGAGAATTTTTGTGCTTCAAAGGATGCCATCAAGAAAGTGAAAAGAGGCCGGGCGTGGTGGCTCACGCCTGTAATCCTAGCACTCTGGGGGGCCAAGGCGGGCAGATTGCTCAAGGTCAGGAGTTCGAAACCAGCCTGAGCAAGAGCAAGACCTCGTCTCTACTATAAATAAAAAAGAAATTAATTGGCCAACTAATATACATAGAAAAAATTAGCCAGGCATGGTGGTGCATGCCTGTAGTCCCAGCTACTCAGGAGGCTGAGGCAGGAGGATCGCTTGAGCCCAGGAGTTTGAGGTTGCTGTGAGCTATGCTGATGCCACGGCACTCACTCTAGCTTGGCAACAAAGTGAGACTCTGTCTCAAAAAAAGAAAGTGAAAAGACAGGCTACAGAATAGGAAAAATATTTGCAATTTATATCTAATATGGGACTTGCATCTAGAATACATAAAGAACTCTTACAACTCAATAATAAAAAGGCAAAGAACCCAATTTTAAAATGGGCAAGGGAGATGAATAGACATTTATCTAAAAAAGATATACAAATGATCATTATGCACATGAAAAGATGTTCAATATCATTAGTCATTAGGAAAATCCAAATTGAAACTACAATGAAATACCTCTTCACACCCGTTAGTGTTGGGGAGGATGTAGAAATATTGGAACTTTTGTACACTGCTGGTCGGAATGTAAAATGATGCAGCTACTTTGAAAAACAGTCGCAGTCATTGGGTCCTTAAATAATTAAACGTAGAGCTACCATATGGTCCACCCATTACATTCTGGGGTGTATTTCCAAGAAAAATAAAAACACATGTCCACACAGAAACATGTATGTGTGTGAATGTTTACAGCAGAATTATTCATAACTAAAGGGCAGAAACAATGCAAATGCCCCTCAGTTCATGAATGGATAAGTAAAATGTGATCTATCCAGACAATGGAATATTATTGAGCCCTAAAAAGGAATGAAGTTCTAATATATGTCACAATATGAATGAACCGTGAGAACATTATGCTAAGGGAAAGAAGCCAATTACAAAAGACCACGTATTATATGACTCCATTCATATGAAATGTCCAGAAAAGGGAACTCCGTAGAGACAGAAAGTAGGTCATTAGTGCCTAGGGATGGAATGGTGGGGCAAAAGGAGGTAGAGGAAAGGGGTGAGAGGGAAATCACACAGGGTTTCTTTTTGGAGTGAGGAAAAGTTCTAAAGCTGATTGTGAATAGACCAAATCTGTTGAATTGTAAACTTTAATTGGCTGAATTACATGGTATGTATACTATATCTCAAAGAAGCTATTAAAAATATTTGCAATTTATGAGGCATAATTTTTATCAGTGTTTAAATTTAAAGCACCTAAAGAAATTGATATGAAATGTAATAAAGTCCTCAAAAAGAAATGGGGAAAGGTAAAAGCAGCTAATTCACAAGAGAAGAAACACAAATGGAAATACAAATAGAAACAAGTTCAGAGTCACCCGTTGCTGAAATAAAATGAAAACAAAGCATCCTTTGCCTATCAAATTAGCAGGGTGTTCAGGAGAGGAGCAAGCACAGCACATTAGATATAAATATAAATTAGATACACACATACACACAGAGATTGCATGTTGTGGGAGTTTGTGACTTAAAAATCCCCAAGCGCACACACACATACACACACATACACAGGAAGGAAGTATACCAAAGGAGTATTAGTGGTTATGCTGTGCTGTAAAATTATATAGATGGATTACAGTCAGCAAATATTATTTTCTAGGCATACAAAATAGTAGCTATTAAAAATAAAAATGCAAATGAGATTTTCCAATATAATCAAAAGAGCAATGAAGAACGGAGCATTCTGGGGAGAAATGTAGGCAGCTGTGCACAGCAGAGTGATCACAAAAACGTTTCTGTTGGTACAACCCAACACCGAGGCATGGAGGCAACAGGTGCTGTGGGATGTGCCTGCCCGTGCAGTAAACAACCTCATTCATTACCTGCTTTAGAAGTAACAAGCTGCAGCACAAGAGGTCGTCTTGTTACAATGCCCGACCCTCGAGGGAGAAAGTCCCTAAAAAAAATAGGAAACAAAAGATTAAGGATTAATCAGCTATAAATTTATAAGTCAAGTTCCACAGTAATTCTCCTAATTCCCAACCTTTCAATGTATCAAAGAATGCTAGACCCATCTTATAAAAGAAGCATTTGCAAGGTTTTAAAAAAAAGAGTGAAGAGGGCATAATATTAAATATTAATGCACATGAATTATCATAATGACCTCACTGGAACACATCATTTATTAATTTAGCAAGAATAAATAAAAGTTTGCATTCAGTTTCTGTGTACTATCGATTCATTATAATTTTAAGTGAATCAGTATTAATAAAAACATTTGATACTGAAATTAATCCTCAAACTCTTTTTGATGATTAAGAAATTCAGTACTCTCTGGCCTTAAGATGAACATTATCACCATCAAATACCGACCATTACTAGAGGCATATTAGATTGTATCTTCTAAGTGTACTGAAAATTTTCTTCAACAAAAGGACACATAAAATGTGGAATAAATTAGAAGTAAATATTGTGTCTACAGAAATTAACAGCAGAAAAAATATTGCAACTTGAGTTTTGTTTGTCCTTATTCCTGATAAATGGAGGTTTTGATAAAGATATTTTAAATGACATATTAATATATATACCAATAAAACTACAGCAAGTTAAGTGTTATATAAAATTACATCTGCAATGCCACATAAATTACTACTAATTCTTCAATGCCAAAGATACCATAAACATGCCAATATCATAGTTTTTAAACACATTTAGAATGCCTTGCAACTTCTAGAGGAATCATCACAGAATTAATTCCATTCAAAGTAAACTTTTCACTCAACATCAGTGTTTCTCAAAAAGTGGTTCCAGGACCACCAGAAAGTGTCACGACTACAGATACCCAGGACCCATCCTGAAGCTACAGATTCGTAACATGCCGGAGAAGGCATGTGGCATCTGTACTTCTAACAACCTCCCAGTGGATGCTGATGCTTACCAAAGTCTGAAGAATACTGGCCTCAAATCAAGATATGTTACTCAACAATTCAGTGGGTGGTAATGGTATGGGGCATACTACAAGTTTTGCAAGAAAATTGGCAAAACAGAGCTTCAACACAGATGGGATTTCAATGAACAGCAGCTTATAAAATAGGCAAAGGCCAGTGAGAACGCTCCAAAACCCAAGCCTTTAGCAGCACTGATACTTTGGAATGGAGAGTCACAAAGATAGAATTAAGCAAAATTTCCCCTACTACACCTAATTTATTTTACAGGCGCCAGTGTATGTTCTGACAGAGGAAATAACACTAAAACAATCTCTTCACTAGGCTAATAACTCTTCTTAACTCCAAGGCTAATGTTCATTTAGAATGCCACCGTATGTAACTACACTAGAAAATAGTGAAACTAGAGATTTGTATTTGTTCTTTAAAACTACACCTGAAATAAATGATATTATTTATTCATCAAAAACAATTCACTAAGAAACTAAGACATGCTAGGGAGGTGCTGTGGACATGGATTCATTCTAGGTAGACAAGAGTTTGGAATCTAATGAGCACGTAAATATATGCACGTAGAAAACCATTAAAGAAGGGAACAGATGAACTACACTGTAGTTCTGAAAAGAGAGAGACCAACTCTTCTCATGATGATATTTTGATATATCTAAATATGTATAACTAAATACTTATATGTTTAATGTTCTCCAGTTCTCCAATTATTCTATGTTAGAATAATTGCTGGTTTGGATGGTTTCCATAATCACTTAAAATTTAATCAAAGTAAGCAAAGCACCTACTCTACGCCTAGAACCAAAAAGGCAGATGTTAATTTGAAGATCAAAATGAATGAAGGGAAAACAAAAGTCCAGAGCAAAGAGATGGAGGGTATCTGAGCTGTGAGGACCACGAATGAGATTTTAGGATGTATAGATGCCAAAGAGAAATGATGAATGGCCATTTAATAAATCGATAAAATATTTTCTTTAAACAAACAAAAAAGAAAGAAGGACAGAGGGGAAAAAAGAAGGAAGAAAAGAGGTCTAGTCACTTAAATAATCCTCATGTTGGGACCTGCTTTGACTCATGCATGTAACCATACATTTATAATGTAGATTTAGAACAATCCCTCTGAATAATGTCTTTGCTTTTATTAAAGCAAAATAGAATATATCAAGCATTTTAAATAGTAAATAATTATCATGTGTTTGGCTGCAAAGTAAACCCACAGATACTAATACATCTAATGCTTTTCTCTGATATCTTTTTCTTTTTTCCTTTTTTTTTTTTTTTTTTTTTTTTGAGACGGAGTCTCACTCCATCACCCAGGCTAGAGTGCAGTGGCGCCATCATAGCTCACTGCAACCCCAAATTCCTGGGCTCAAACGATCCTCCTTCCCCAGCCCCCCAGGTAGTTGGGACTACAGGCACACACCACTTTGCTTGGCTAATTTTTCTATTTTTAGTAGAGATGGGGTCTCACTCTTGCTCAGGCTGGTCTCCAACTCCTGGGCTCAAGTGATCCTCCCACCTCAGCCTCCTAGGGTGTTAGGATTACAGGTGTGAGCCACCGCACTCTGCTAAGAAATCTTAAGGCTAAGCATAATTAAATTAACCCCATTCTATTGTCTGGATGCCTTACTTACAGTTGGACTGTACAGATTTTTAGGCAGGGAGAGTGCTTCTCTCTGGATGCCACACAGCAATTACAACTCAAATGCCTTTCTTCTCCCTCAACAAACCTCAATAAAGTGTTAATCTGCATAATCATGACAGCTGATCTTCAGGCAGTAAGTCAATGCTGTTTTATGGCTTCCTGACTCCTAGACAAAAAGTAGAGAGCAATTCTCACACTATGGTCCAAGAACCATCTTGATAATGTCTCTTACTGGCTCTTCCAGAACCTTAGTTACCAGGAAATATTATTATTGCTCCACTAGGAAATGAATGACCTTTGGAAGCCTGAAAAAGGAGAGCACACTTGCTGTATCATCAAAGCTAAAAGGAATTTTCTCCCTTGGCAGCAAATAAAGTAACTAAAGAAATGGTTGCCTTCAGTATGGATGTAAATGATCATTAACCAGATAATCTGTACAGTAACTAAATGTTTACCATCTGCCCTTAACTGAAGATGGGAGCTATACCTCATAGTCTCATAGAAGTTAATTCATTGTAGCTGATTCATTCACAGACAAATTAGCTTAGTCTTGGAGGAGACCGATATGCAAATGACTACCATAAGCACAACAGGTACTATGGTTAAGCTCCACACAAGGTGCAGTATTGATGTAGAGCAAGGTCTACTCTGCTTGGAGGACCTGCCAGAAACAATTTCAGAAGAAACATGAGGTAGGAGGCACTTCACAGAGAATCAGGATGTGCAAAGACATGAAAGACCAAAATAGCACAGAACATTAAGGAACTGTAAATATTAAAGAAAGGTCAGAATGAGACGGAGAAGAGTCTGGAGAAGAAAGCAGGAGCTGATCTGAGAAGCCTTCTTGGGTAGTTTGTGTTTGTTTGTTTTCTGTGAGAAGAGGAAGGCACTGAAGAGTTTTAAGTGATCAGATTTGCATTTCAAAATAATCACTGAGGACTAGCAGGCGTCCCAGCCCCTAGCATGTTTATCTGGCCCTCCGGGTGTTTTTGCAGCACCTGCCTGTCCTGCTTAGCAGCCAACTAGTCCGGGGCCCACAGTGCGCACTCTCCAACGGTCTGAGGGACAGTGAACTGGCCTCTTGTTTAAAAAGTTTGAGGACCCCTGATATAAAGAATGTTGAAAACGCAAAGATTACGGACAAGGAGACTAGTCGCCAGCCAGTCTAGGTCAATCAGAAAGATAATGAAGTTTAAATCCAAGGCAGTAATGGGGGAGATGGAGAGACGTCAAATGACAGGATTTAATGATCACTTGGATGTGAAATGCAGTGATATAGAGGAATTAGTGTACATTTCACATCTCTAGTTTGAGTAGATGGACAAACAGTGATACCACAACCAGGCAAGGAAATACAGGAAGAGCTGGTTATAGATGATATGTATATAGTGCTTACTATGTGCTAGCACCAGCCTAATTGCTTTACACATATTAACTTACTTGATCATATAACAATCCTATGAGGTAGGTGCTACTGTTATTTATTTTCACTTCATATGAGAAAACTGAGGCACGGAAAAGTCATATTTATATTTATTTATAAAAGTCATATTCATATTTATTTTCACTTCATATGAGAAAACTGAGGCACAGAAAAGTCACATAATCTGCAGACGGTCACAAAGGTAGTAAGTGACATTGAGGCTCAAACCTTGAGAGTCTAACCCTAGCATCTGTGTTCTTGACCACTGACTATGCTATACTGTAAAAAAAAAAGTCAGGGAGGAAGATGAGGGAATCATATTTGCACACAATGATCTTTACGTCCCTGGGGAATACCCAAGTGGAAACAAGTACATAGTTAGACTGAACAGCTGGAACTCAAGATGAAAGTCCTGGCTGGAGATAATTTGACAGTCATCAACACAGCAGGCAGGTGAAGCCAAAAGAATAGATGAGTAGTAGAAATGGAGTGGGAAAGTGATTAACATGGACTCTCAGAAATACCAACACTTAACAGGTACCTGAAAGAAGTAGAACTAAGAGATTGAAAGGGGACCTGCAGAGACATATGCCACATACTAGAATTCAAAAGTCACACAAACCTCTTAAACATTTTCATTTAGATGTTTGAAACCAACATCTCTACAACTCAATTCCTTATCATCTATCCAATATGCTCTTCCTTCATTCCCAATCATAACCTACATCATCAGCATCCATATATATATACATCAGCTAAGCCAAGCACCTGGGTGTCATCTATCCTCCATCTGCCTCTATCTTCATGCTCAAAATGATCACCAAGTCCTGCTGATTCTACCTTCTTAATATCTCTTAAAGTTATCCTCTCTTCTCTATTTCGATCACCAAACTCCAGGTGACACCAACTCTCACATAGACTGCTGCAATAATCTC